GGGGGAAGGGGTGGAGTGGGGGCAGGGCTTGGGGCAAAGCAGGGGGTTGAGCAGTGAGCACCTCCGCGCACATTGGAAGTTAGCATCTATAGCTCCAGCCCCGGAATCAGTGCCTAGGTAAGGAGCCGCATATTAACTTCTGAAGAGCCGCATGCGGCTCTGGAGCCACAGGTTGGCCACCCCTGTTATATTCCTATGGCACAGAGTAACACCAACAGCAGATAAAAAACCTGCTAGGCTTTAATGAAAAATATGCAGCTGTACTCCAGGCTCAATATCATTAGTAGTAACTCATATTTGGAGAAAATATGTTTATATTATCAAAAGACAGAAGATATTTAATATCATTCCATTGGGAAATAGTGTTTGGACCTAGATGTGCCTTTGGCGTTTTGAATCTTAAAAACCTGCTAAAACACAGCAAAACAAAAATGCAGTTAATAAAACTCACCTCTTCATTTTATTTATGTCACTGTCATTTATATTTTGATTGGTGCCGTTTAGTTACCTGAGTAGATGAAAAATCCACACTGTGTAGAAATCTGCAGTTCTGTCCAAGCGCGTGCAGGGATGCATCGGTGATGCCTGAGCAGCTGCCTAAGTTCACTATTTGTAGAAGATGGCAATTGAGCGCCAGAGCCAGAACTCCACTGTCTGATACATTGCAGCATCTTTTAAATGAGGCTTCACGTAAATAAGGGCAAGACAAGGCCAGAGCTCTGACTCCTATTGAAGAAATAAAGCAAGTCATTCTTGTGTAAATAAGCTTTCATCTACAAAAATATTTTATTGTGTAACACTTCTTTATAAAAATGAGTCTGTCAATTCAAAAGTCACAGTCTGCCTGAATTATTTTTACATACTATTTTTACAAACAACACAAATAGAGAATATTTTCCAATGTATTTACTTTGCATACAGTTGGTTTACCTATTTCCCTTAGTGTCTGTGTGGGCTTTTGGCTTAGTCTACATTCGCAAAGTTGCACTGATTTAACTGAACTGATTTTTAAGTGGTTAAATCTCTGCAAGCCCCCAGAACACACAATTAAATCAGATAACTCTGGGGTTAAATTGGTTTAGCTAAGGGCATGTGTACACACAGAAGTTGCACTGGTTTAGCAAATCAGTTTGGCTAAACCACTGCAACTTTTGAGTTTGAACTCTCTTATATTGGTTTAAAACTGGTTATACTGATTTAACTTCTTAGTAAATGAACCAAATGACCATAACCCTTTTTATTCTTTGTAGGTGAACCAAAGTCCCAGCATGCCTTGTATTTATAATTCTTTGTATTCGAGCTGAACCTAAACAGAACTTTAAATGATCTAGTCCATATGCCCAGAAAGAGACTACTGTTAACCAATATGTGGCAGTTGTTTTCTAAGATTAATAAGATAATGATCTATCAAGAGATGCTTTTAGCTTATCAGGAATTACTCTAACAGATTATTTCTGTCATAATGACTCAGTTACAGATATTTTTGTAATTCATAAAACAATGGATGGTTGAAGTCTTTAGTTTATCAACTGTAAAGTAGATACAAGAAAAGAGCTTCACAGTCAATAGGTTATTTTCTTTGTCTCTTTTCTGTAAATACTCATTGTATATAAAGGGAGGCCTGTTATTAAGATGGGTGTTGTAATGGACAAAATGGTGTAATTGATAGGGGATGTTCAAAATGCAATGTAATTGATAAGATTAGTAATTG